TGGGGGAAAAGAAATTACCATATCTGTTCAAGTAAGAGAATCTGGTGTCCCTTGTGAGTGACAGTTGATGTAGTTGATGGCTATTTTTATAATAGACACATATAATAGCCTCACACTCATTTTTAAGAGCAAATTCAGAGGTTAGGGGAAACAAGAGCCAATATGTGGCAAAACCTGGTGCCTATTTGCAGGGCTTGTCCATCATTTGTTTTATTTTTGTCTGAAATCATTTCCCCATTTCTCTTTCACAATGGTAAAGCTAAGCCAGAAAACAAGTTGCCTTTCTAATGATACATTATGCACAAAGCTTTCTATCTCATGTTCTCCTGGAAATATATTTCACAACTGTAGTAACATTCAGTTTACCAACCGGGTGTTCTGTAGACATCAATAGTGACTTGGGTTTCCAAACTTCATGCACAGCTTTCTGACACAGAAGTTACTTGCTTTGTTAGTCAAGATTTATAACAATATGGCACTTATAAGTAGTTCATAAAAGACTGATGGATAAGCATGATATGCCTATCAGCAGCATTTATCATGGGTGCTGTGAGAACATCAGTCAGGAGTGGTTTATCAGTTGCTGTAAGCAGCCCTTTGACCTCTGGTCTCTGTAAGAATTGAGTCATCAGTTATTAACCCTGTAATAAGTTATTTATGTAAGTAGCTTTAAGACAAAGCCTGACCTTGCTTCCCTTGTGTAACTCAAGCAGACAGTTCCAGGGTAGGAAATTATTTCCATACTGAAGTCAGGATGAGTCTTTTTATTGATTTTAATGATACTGCCATCAGGCTGAAAGCAACTGTGCCTGTAGCACTTCTTGGGTGCATTTTCTTTGCTACAGCAAGGAAATTCCATTGATTGCATCTTTTGGAGGGACCTGATTTTCCAGCCATCTTTGTCAGCCAGGCTTGATCAGAAGGCTGTGAACAAAGATAATCAGAACATACAGGACTCCTAAGCCCTATGCCAGATTTGCTGAATGCACTCCATCTTAGAACAGTCAAGTTCTTCAAGTTAGTTAAACAGCTAAATGTTTAAAAAGGCAGCATGAGAAAGGAAGAATGTAACATAAGAAGGTCATTGAGACCTCATGTGGGCTCAGGCTGTGTAGGAAGGTCCCTGGCCCTCCTTCACTGAAACAGAGACCAAGTATAACAAGGCAAGATTTTATGAAGGGTATCTGAAAATAGCCATTGCACTAAATGTGAACATGTAAAAATGCTTATTGGAGTGTTTGTATGAGGAATCCTTCCAGTTTAGATTACTTCCTGCGAAAACTCAAGAAGTCCATATTAGTGATCAAAAAATTAATATGTCCTATTACTTTATTTCCCTAGGCCAAGTGAGGAGCATGCTTTCTCTGTTGATAAAGGCTCAATTCACAGTTCTACCAGTATCTAGCATTTTACTTCTTTTTTCTTCTGTTTCTCCAAGCATAAGACAGAGATTATCAGAATTTGGCCCAGATAGTGGAAATATATTTAAACATTGCTGTAAAGCAAAGTTAACATTGTGGGAACCCTACCCTGCCTATTGATAAGCATGTTAAACTTACAATGGGGATAGTTCTTCTAAGGAGAGCCATGGAAGCCTACAGTAGGCCAGTCTTCTTACTGTTTTGATTCGGTTTGGTTTAGGGCAAGCTCACATTGTCAGTTCTGGTCTACACCAGGCCCCCAAACTCAGCTGACTCACTACAATGGATCATTTCTGTCACCTCTCTCACACCAACCCTAAGAAAAAATATACAGTTCTTCATCAGGAAAGTAAAAGTTCCTTTTTTGCTCTGTGAAGTAGAAGATAACAATCCAAAGAAGATCTCCTATTCAGTCATGTTCAATCAGGAATGTGCATCAGATTAAAATAATAAATTGTGACTCCTTTTTACTTCACACTGGCTGCCTCCATGCCTCCTGTGCTTGCCATAGCACCCTTTATAGCGCTCCTCTCCCTGTTTAGGATTCCTTGATTGGCATTGCCAGAAATCCTTTCTGTCCTGATCCTGGTGACCTGACTTTGACATCATTGCATGACTGGAAACTGCCTCCGAGTAAGAGGCACAGGATCAGTGTCTCCAGGGAAATGAGTTCCTCTTTGAAGCAGGTACAGATCTTACTGCTGCTTCTGAATGAATGCTTCAGTGTCAGTCTTTCCCCTCATTTTAAATATATGCATTAATTTAAGAATGTAGATGTGGCAGCCACAGAATTCTGACTCATCCCAGCTGCACTCTGTGCATGTAGGTCACATGAAATGTCATCTGTTAGAATGCACAATACACTATATTAACTTCAAGGGCCAGAGAATCCTGCTTTGCATGCGATGCGTGGGGAGGAGACAAAGAAAACAAGTTCACATTAAACTTTGATTAAAGAGAAACCTAGACATTCCCCCAGTTTTCTGAATGCAAATAAGAATGAGTCATATTTCTTCAAGGCATCTTACTATTTCCCACACCAAGAAGATATGACATGACCCCAGAGCTTATTATCCCAGGATTTCACTTCCTTTTCAGGGGTCTGTGCTCAGACCTTACAGGGGTCTAAGCACAGCTATGCAAAGCTGTGGCTTTTGCTCAGCAGTGGGACATTTCTCACTACTCTCTGAACTACTGCTGGGATTTAAACAGGTGAAACCAACAAGCAAACCCAAAAAAAACCAACCCTTAATGGGCTGTTCATTAGGGGCACAATGCATACCAGACTTAAAGTCCAAAGGGATCTTGCCTGAGATATATAGCAAGTCGCCAGCCCATCGCTCAAATGAAACCAGGCTGAAAGGCAGCATTCTTAGAGAACATGGAGTCATTCATGAACTGGTCCCAGTTCTCAAAGCCCTGAACAAAGTTCCGCTCAGAGTTTGGCCCCATGAATAAATCACAGCTGCTTTCCCATTCTCTGATCCTGCAAATACAGAGGTACATACCTTGTGAAGTACCTCAGGCATAATGGTCCCAATACACAGAAGGCACAGCATAGCATATATTTTTATCTGCACCTATTATCCCATATCTCTTAGTATGATTTGGTTTTCTGCTTCTTCCCTTTCCCCCCTAAGCAAACTTTCTGTCACTGAACGCCCTTTTGTCTCTGGTCAGGTGTCAGCTGAGGGACCTGACGTCTCTGTCTGGGTTTGTTGCTGTATTCACTGATAGGAATAAAAGCTTCTTTAATACCAGGAAAGTGACAGGTGCCAAAAAAAGAATTTGAGATTTACTTCCAGCTTTGGCCAAACAAATGCACAATTCAAGACAGACCAATACTGAGTGAAAATATATTTGCCCTGCAAAAACAATTCCAAAATAATCAACAGCAACTGTGACTCTGGCAACAGTTAACATCAGATTTGGGATAACCTGGGTCATTTGGGACAAACTTAAGAGAACACTAAGGTCTTGTCAGAGAAACAAATGTCCAAATAACAGCAGCTACGCCGAATGAGGTGCACATCATCGCCTCTCTTCCAGTTTATCAATACTGCAATAAGGTACTTAGATTTTATAAAGGCTCGATTAATTCAGCAGTGACTAGAATAGATAATGTAAGCTAAGCTCATGAGAAACCAGTATCACTGTATTTCAAGCTCTAATCCTTATGTCGAAGTAGCAAGAAAGAGAAAATGAACCCCCAAAACAACTGTCAAGTTCTTATGCTTTCTCTCAAAACATCGTGCATTTACCACTGCCAAAGGCTGCAATCCTAAACTAGAGGGACAATCATGTGTGTCAGTCCAGAGGTTTCCATGTCCCTGTGAAGCACTCCATCACCACCAGTGTCAGATAACCTTTCTTCACCTTCCTTCACTGTCAGTGAAAGCATGTTTGAAAGAATGTGAAAAATAAGATTATCTTTCTTTGATACTGAAAATCACAGGGAAGAAAACAGTTAAAATAGAAACTTGCTCAGGAAAATCAGCAGTTTGAAATATGGAATGTGAAATATCTGGAAATGAGCTGGTGGATGGTCAAGCTGCCATTACTACTGCCATTCTCTAGCTGGGCAAGAATATATTGTAGATGTATTTGGAAAGTCACACTCCCACCTCAAACTTTATAAAATCATTGGCTTGATTATAACTTTCACCGAACCTCAGTACAATACTTTCTCTAGGAGTTCTCCCAACTTCCAACTGTTCTGAGCTCAGAGTTTAGGTCTGTTGAGCCCTTTTCCAAACATTCATTCAATCTCCCCTCACACTCACATGAAGTTCTGCACCCACAACATCGTTTGGCAAGGAACCCCATAGAGCTACACCCACACTTCGGGAAACCCCCACCTTCTGTGTGTTCTGAACCAGATTCCTGTATTTGATGTCTCCTTCTAAGTTCTTCAAGTTGGAAGATGAACAGAAAGTCCCTGCGCATACTCTTCATGTAATTCGCTCTATCAATCAAATTAGTTCACATTTAACCCATTTCTAACTGAGAAACACAGTCCTCATCTAATTGAACCATTCCTTGTATAGAAGCTATCCCATATTTCTGACTTGATTCCCAGGGTACCTGCTCCACTGCAGGTAATGCACTACGAAGATACAAAATACAGGAAATGAAACTATCCTGCAGTAATTACTCGGGGGGGTTGGGGGAGGAACACTGTTTATTTCAATGTTCTTCCTTGAAAGTAACTTTCAAAAAGCAAATGTACTGCTCCTTCAGTGCCCTAAAGACATGTAGTAAAAACCATAAAATTATACCTGGGGTTCTCTGCTGAAAAATGAGGACAAACAAGGGAAAACACCCAGCCTTTGAGTCAGCCTGTGTTGGTTCAGCTTACCCATGTACCTAATGAGACATCCTGGAACAGGATAAATCTATCCCCCAAACAAATTTCTTGGTTAGCTCACAAGCAGAAAGTTTGTCAAGACTATAATGATATATTCCTGCCTTAAACTGATACTGCAATATAATTCATGGATCTGTTGTACTTCTGTGGGACAAACATGGAAGTGATCAGTTCGCTGGTGAGAGACTGCTCAGTTTGATTTGGGGACGGTTGTTGTTACTCCACCTTGCTTAATAAAGTGTATGTGGCAGAGAACATAAAGAAATGTTGTCAGTGTCATGCCCTATAAAATGCAAAAAAGAAGGTGGCCAATGCTGAAAGGGGGGACCAGACAATTTGATTTCTCCTTTTTTCCATAACGAGTTTCCGTGTCTATGTGGGAATTTAAGAAAAAAACAACAAACAAACAAACAAAAAAACAAAAAAACCCCACCATAAATTCCCAGAGGCATCTAATTAAATATTCTCTTCACCTCCTCCCCCTCATTCATTCGCTGTTTCTTTCAATGGGCAGGGTCCCATGACGACCATCGTGGAAGACAAGCATCCTCTTCAGCAGCCGCACCTCGCCATAGCAACCGTCACGTCAGCGCCGGCAGCCAAACCCGGCGGCGGGCCGAGGGACAGCCCTGCCCCCGGGGCTGCCCTCCCCTGCCCCCTGGGGCCTTGCGGCGGGGAGAACGGGGGCCGTGAAGGGAACGGGGGGCTACAGAGAGCCCCGCCGCTACGGGGTGGTGGGGACGGCACCCGACGCGTCCCGGTGCCCGCCCCGTCGGGGTCCGGGCGGCTCGCCGCTGTCCGTGGTGCTGACCGGCCCAGCGCCGCCGGGCACCGACGGGGCGGAGGGTGGGCACCCTGCAGGGAGAGGGGAGAAGAGAGAGGAGGCGGCGGGCTTCTGGGGAGGTCCTGGGGCGTCTGAGTGCTGAGGAGGGACTGCCACATGATCCGCATCCCACATGACACAGAAAGAAACTGGTGGCAGCAGCCAGCCCCGAAAAACGTCATCTTTTCCTCCGTCAAAGAAGAGGGGTAGAATACCCCATCCCTCCCCCTCAGCCAGATTCGCAGCTATTCAGGAAGAGGCAGGCACAGATGTGAATATACTGTGCGGTTTCCAGTATGATTGGCACCCGCCCAGAGGTGCCTCCACTTGGGATAACAAGCAGAGAAAGGACGAGACCGGCGCCTCTGGGATTATGCTTTGGAGCAGGTATGTGGATGGATAGGTACTGTGATGAAGACTGCTGTAGCTAAAAGGATAGCTTTCTTTACCAGGGTGATCTTTTCCAGTAATTTATCTTCTTATATTTACTTACTTGCATATAAAATCCTTGGGGTTTAGCAAAGAGGACTCATTTCTCACAAGCAAATGCCCTGCAGGGCTTGAATTTTAAACTGATTCTGCTGAAAGCAGGGAAGTGTGTAGAATTACTGCAGAATAAATGTCCATAATTTCTGTACAAATCTACATTGTGTGCATCTATATTCATTATTTTTAAATTATGCTACTTATTTGTCTTAAATAAGTCCCCTGACATGATCAGTTCGCTGAAAGCAGAAAATTATTTTAACTGAGATGAAGCAGACCAATCTGCCCATCTGTTTTTTCCCTGTCTCTAGATACATTCAAACAGCTTCTTCTTTCCTGGTGTTACTGCACTAAAACATCTGCTTTTGTATTTTTCAGTCATTAATTTGAAGTCACCCTTTCTGAAAGCCTTGTCTCCCTTTTTTTCTGTGGGGGTGCCTGGATGCAGCTACTTAGGGCAACACCACAGGCATAGTAATCTTTGCTTATATGTAGCTCGCAGAGACAAGAAGGCGATTCTGGTTTTGCTAATTCAGGCACATACTCTCTAAGAATGCATTGCAATATTTTTCATTCACCCAGCTGGCTTCCAGCATGTCAAACAGTATGTTGGCTCCATGGAGTAATGGAGAAGTAAAACTGCTCTCAAAAAGTGATTTGTGTGTATGAGGCAGGATTCACAGCCGGTTCTTTCTGGCAAAGGTTTTTAAATGTGGTTCTTGAAGATTTGTTGTTAGAGCCCCTGTTAACGGCTTAAACAAGTGACTTGATTTGCAGGAAAATTGGGTGCCAACCCAGAGGCATCCTTAAAAGCTGATCTTTATTTGGGTGTCTTCGGATTTTTAGAAGCTTGATTTGTGGGTTTATTTTAAACATTTTGGTCTTGGATGAGTCAGTAAGGGGAGGAATTTCTATACCTCAGGCACATTCGGGGAGCTCTGCTCCTTAGCTTGAAGTAAGAGCTTGCAGACTCTTACTCCCCCACAGTTCTTCTGTGAAGCCTCTATTTGCAAACCTGTGCAATGCAATTCCCCCATCTGGGTCACACCATATGATCTCCATCTGCATCTTCCTTTGCAGCCCCGCCAGTCATCCCTCCTCAGGTGCTTACCAATCTGTGGAGCAATTTCAACCAGATGCAGAATAGCCCCTAACATCCTCAGTCTGCTCCCCTTCCCCACTACAAACACAGTTCACCACCACCAAAACATGAAACAGCACTTATGTGTTTGGGATTTCTCCATTCCAGCAGCTTCCATCATTCCCTAAACTTCATCTCTGACAGGCAGGCAAAATAGTTCTTGCCACTGGCACCCTTTGTAAGAAAACATCTCCAGTTCAGCAGTTATCAGCAGGCCAGCACCTTGCCTCAGTGGCTTTTCCTACCTTTTTTTGTCCACCCTGAGCCTAACTCAGCTGAAACATCCATTCCAACAAACATTTCTGCATCAGACATTTCCAGCCTAACTATGGCTTTTGCCCTTGTGGCTTCTCCAGGAAAGTTAATATAGAAAAGCTATGGAATGCTCTCACTAATGGCCATATCCTCTGACATAGGAACACTCTTTTACTGCTCATTCAGGTCTCCTCCTCTTATTCCTGTCAGATAAGTCTTCCTGGAAGCATCTTAAGATCTCTGGCAACTCTATCCATAGTATGATTATTAGTCACCAGTGCTACCCCACTTTCTACCACTATGTCTTGCACAGGTGACCTCTGTTGTGTGAGCACTACATCCAAGTTACTGAGAAAGGTCATTAACCATATGACAGGGACTCTTAGATCCCAGCACAGTTGTTTGCACCAATGTGAAAATTCTGTTACCACATTAACTTCTTGTGTGCTGAAAAAAAACAGTTTTCACAAGATTTAATATCAAGAATTAACTGTAACATGACATCTTCATACAGAAAGAACAAAAAAACCCCACACTTAATGTTCTCCTAGGATGACAACTTGTGTTTATTGCTACTGAGAGGGTGAGCTAAGCTGCCAGAGCCCTCACTGAAGCTGCTGGCATGTTCTTCCTGTGGGGGAGAGGACACTCAGCAGGGAGGGGGTGAGAATTGCCAAGAGATGGGCAGAGAAATCAGCCAAGTGTGAGATTCACCACAGCTTATCTGTCAACACCCACCGTGGAAAACCAGCCCTGGTAAGCACTGTGTTCCTCACATCAAGCAGGAGAGCATGCTGTGTTGTGGGCAGGACCTGGCATTGCCAAAAAATAATATAAGTGTGTGGGAGAGAGCATCTATTTTTTTACCTCTGAATCAGGAAAGGGTCCAACCCAGCTGTGTCCAAGGACAGACTCAATCCCTATTAAGAAGGCAAGCAACCTGCAAAGGTGTATTTCAAGCTTCTCCACACTCTCCTTGGACAACACCAGTGGGTGAGAACCTAGCTTGACAGCAGAGTTGGAAATTAGGTCAGTCCCTCTTCTCCTTGTTCCCACTTTTTCATGCCCCCATAGACACACTGGGCAGAGATCTGGGGTTTGCTATCATTTTTAGAACAGCCCTAACCTAGAGTTTTACTACTAGTTGCTAGTAATAATGCTAATAGTAACTGCCCCCATAGACGCATTGGGCAGAGATCTGGGTTTTGCTATCATTTTTGGAACAGTCCTAATCTAGAGTTTTACTACTAGTTGCTAGTAGTAATACTAATAGTAACTACTAGGATGATAGAATAAAGCATGAGACATGATAAAAGTCTGACACACTTAAAACTCTGTGGGTCTTTCCTTTGGGGAAGAAAAGCTTCTACAAGAAGCCCATATCCACTGTGCACCTGTTTGTAAACAGTGTGTTGTACTCATGCTCGTGAGGCAGTAGACAAAGCACTGTGCTATGTGTCTCTCTTATCATTAGCCAGACCATGCTGTGGGCAAGAGTAGAGGGGGAAGATTGAAGAAACAGGCAGTCCAAAGGCCATTACAGACCCAATAATTTATTTGGCACAGCCCAGGTCTGTGGAAGGAAGACTGTGTCCTCCCTGGGCCTTGCACATGACCCCACCCTACAGCTACTGGATGATTAACTTCCCACTGCATGTGATCCTGCCTATGTCATCCTTTCTACAGATCTGGAGGTTGCAACCTCCACCTGTGCTTCAGCATAGCCCTGGCTGAAAAGAGTTACACCTCTGTCCCTCACTCTGCAGATACAGATGAGGTAAGGGTGTCTATCTAGGCAGTGTTGAGCACAAATATGGCTCATATTTTACCACTGTCTGTCGCTGAACCAAAGAATGATGTTTGGTATAAGTGGAATCTGCAGTTACCATAAGGTCTCCTTCCCACCACCAACAAAGAATAAACATGCTCTTAGGGTTAGGTGCGTGAATAAATTACTGGGTCTTAGAAACTCACCTCAAGTTAATAGACCTATGGTGGCTGCCTGTGTGTCAGTCTTAACCCACAGTAAATACATGAGAAAAAGTCATTGACTTCAGATGCAGGAAAAAGCTAGTGTTCTTACAACCTTTAATACCACAATGAGCTTCAAAAGATGGCACTGTCTCTTAAGTAGACTCAGCCAATATACAGTAACTTATGACCTACATATGGTTTTGAACCCTGAATGTTCATCAGAATCATGGCCCGTGAATTTGCCCCAGGCCAGGCCTTAGTGCTACAGGTATGCAGAGTAGTTAACTCCAGATTTCAGCTTATAGACCCAGAAGCTTTAGATGGACTCTGTTCTTGGACTATTTAGCTACTGCATGGTTCACCACTTATTAAGCTCAGTTAAAACGATAAAGCTGAAAAAGCATTATTCCTTACGCAACCAGTACAAGAAATATAAATTTGCTCAAATCCCAGCAAGTGTTGTAGTATATTATATCCTTGTTCTCAGCTTTAATACCTTGTTAAAATGGTCAGGAAAGAACACAAAGAGTTGATGAAGGTTGAAGGCAAAGAGACTGTCTACTTGCCCTTACTTTCCTCAAGCATACAGTAGAAAAATCTTGTTTAGATTCATGCTCATGCAGTAGCTAACAGCATCTTCACATCTTTAGATGTGCTGGAAATTAAGTACATTTCCTTCCTTTATTTGATTCCATCTGTATTTCCTGCTTCCATGACCTCACCCTGCAATACAGGCTAGGCTCTCAGATGCTGATAAAAGATGCAATAATGTGTATTGACTTACATCAGCAGTACAGAATCTGTAAGTTGAACTGTGACCACACTGGTACTGAAAGCTTCATCCATGAAATAGCCCATCCACACTTCTAGTCATGTCATCTTTAGCTACCTATGCTGCAGAACAGGAATCTCCACCAGTGGAGTAGAGCAGGGAGCAGGCAGAGGCATATGAGAAATGCCTATGGATCACAAAAATTTCCTTGTGTCCAACCCATGTTATTATCCTGATAAAATAGAGGCAGATGTTTTCTATCCCCATATACTGGAATGCAGAGAGCGAGGAAGAACACACTTCACTTCAAGAGATTTTCAGGCTTTGCTCTGCAGAGCTGCTCGAAGAATAGAAAAGCCTTCGTAAGGGCAAAATAGCTGAGCATTTTTATGAGCACTAGACCAGAGTGAAGAGCTGGCAGGGAATCTGCGTGCTTACAAAAGCATGTGTATCCACATTCCTCCACTGCAAGCAGAAGTGCTGGATGGCCTCAATATGTGCACAGTTATCTCTACGTAGCAAGAAACAGGGGTTAAAAGAGTCTGTGTTCTTCTATAAAAGGATTATTACATTGAGACAATGCACACACAGGGTAGTTAACTTGAATTTAGTCAAGGATGAATGTTACCTTCTAGCACCTTACACCCAGACAAAAGTCCCCCCATTCTGATTCAATTTGCTCCCATTTCTAATGTTGATTAAACTCAGTTAGATGAAGCATTTCTCTTCCAGTCTGGCAGCTATTGCTAAGATATTCTTCAGAAAGGGAATTTTATGGAGTAAATGACCAGCTTAATGCTTTTCAAATAATTTGCTGGACCAAAGCTTGCCTGGTATTTTGAAGGTATGATGCAGAAAGGTAAAATATGTTGACTAAAAAAGCCCCTTCTGTTAGTGCAAGGTTAAATAATGTATAGCAATCTATTTTTTAGCTAACTTTTTAATCCTGAAAAGCTATGGCTGGGAAACAAAAGGTATATTATTTTGATTAAACATTTTAAAAGCCATTTAATGCATTCCTTTGCAAATCTTATTAAGTTTTACTCTTCCAAATGGCAGTGAACACTTATTTTGTTGAGAGGACACTAAACATGCAAACACACAGCAACTATGCCATATGGGCTTTATGCAACAGCAAAGTAGACGTGGCAGTGATTTTATGAAGTTCTGGTGGCTCAAAGACTTAATCTCTAAGAAACAGATCTGTTTTGGAGAGTTAGCAAGAATATATTTAACTTGCTATCAACCCAAGGGATAATCCTGAAAATGGAATGTTTGTGCCTTCAAACTGCAAATTAAGGTCCATGACATAGGAACTGTGGCACCAGGAAATCCCTCTGATAATTATGAGTCATTTCACATGCCCCTTATTTTTCCAAGCAAATGCAAAAAACTTTGGGGTTTTAAACAGAAATACAGGAAATCCTTATACCAGTTTTAAAAGGATTCCCACTCTATAATGTTCAAAAAAAAAGTGAGATTTTTGGCACTGCTGCATTAATGCAGACTCAGTAACTAGAAAGTAGCCTTTCACTCAGCACAGTATTACACAGGTTTACAGGTAAAATCAAACAAAAGCATTTTTGTTAAGCAAAAATGTAATTAGGTCTCAAGTAATTTTTACTTTCTGTATTTCTAATACTTCCTTTTTGACCTGCAAGCAGAGGGAGACTAAAGAGCTCATTCCTGTTTTCTTATGGATCTGGTATTTGCTAGCTGAGCAGTTCACTAACACTTAAACCGTATTTCAGTAATGATGCAGCAGTCAGGGATGTGGGAATACCTAATGTAGCAAGATAGAGAATCTGTGGTTATTTGCATCCCAGACCCAAGCAGAACAATGCATACACTGAGATTTTCTTGCTCATGCTGCCAACAGGAGCATTACTTATTATGTAGAAGTTTATGTCTCCACTATAAAAAACAAACGCCCACCGAAGAAGAGATGCTGGGCAATAGACACAAAGGTTCTTACTGCTAAATCAAGGCATGATTCTGATCTTGTTACCACCTACGAAAAATAGGGTTGAATACAGATCCTTTAATAAAAAGAGTATCAGCTTCTGGTCCATTTGACAGAAAAAATATTTATGACTAGGAATGCAGGACTCTCAGTGCTCCTTAATCAGATAGTATTTATTTTTCAGAAAATAAAACAAGTAATTGATGTTCAACCAGAGCAATTGAATGGTCAGGGTAGTTAAAAGTCACTATATTGCACTTATACATTCACCTGGACCTTGTGGGCAGTGTGCTAAATGACTTTAGATTTTCCCAAGGAAGAAAGAATCACAAAATAAAGTATCACTTTCACCTGTGTTTGGTGCCTCTCCTGTTACACTCACAGTGGAGGAACCAGCACCACCACAGACACGTAACCAAATACTCTCTCTCTCAATGCAAACACATGGTATCTGGTGAAGGATGGAACAAGGAAGGTTTCTCCCATTGAGGTGTTGCTTCTTCTGTTAGCAAAGCTCAAACACAAGACAGCTGGATACAGCTCTTGCCATTGTCCTTTCTCTGTAGGCACCCACTAGTTAGCTCACCTCACACACCTCTGAGGATGACACATGGTGTTCCATGGTGGGGCTGCTGAATTCCCAGCTTCTTACAGGCGTGCTGGCACATAACCCGAGTTCTCCATTAAAGACTGTCTGGGCTGACTTTCAGTCAAAATGAAACAGAAATACTATCTGAGTGTTACAACCTGCATAACTAAATGTCTCGGGTCTGAACTGACACAGACAGCAAATTTGGTTTGCCAGGAGAATTATCATGAGAACAGAGCTAGAGAGTCTGCATATTTTAACAGCTTAGGAAGGTCATTTCATCCTCGTGCCTGACTTCCACTGTTCTTCCGTATTGGTCAAGAAAATGTCATCTGGTTATTCTTCTATGAAGCGTAATCTGTGCAGCTGGTTATTTTTAAATAACACATGCTTCTGCATAGCAAGAAGTGAAATTAAGGAAGCAAAATAGCCCATAATGTTCTTTTCTATCTGGTTAATAGGCTCCATGTGTATTATTCTATTACAGATAATTCTAACATGTAATTTAGTGGGTTGTACTGTCAGTACATCCTGCCATTCTGCCAGAGACAGCAGTTCAAATACTGTGCTGACAGCTGGTGATGGCAGGATATCTCCAGGGGGCCAGATCCACCCAATGGAGGGTAAAGAAAGGCAAGCAGGAGCTGTTTGAGAAACCAGGAATCATCTGCCAGGAAAAGCTAGTAAGAAAACAATGAGAGAAGGGATGAGGGAAAGCGAAGGCCAGGCTGGGCAGCACCCACAGCCCTCCAGCAGAAGACGGGATGAGGGGCAATGTATCATCTGCAGATGGTGCCCCTTGCACGGTTGGTAACTCAGACACCAGCAACACATTGGGTCTCACTGCTGGTGTCCTGAGTGCTATTTTGACAGGAGGCTAGCATGTGAAACTCCTTGTTTAACACACCCCTGAAACAAACCCAGCTGTTAACTAGCCCCAGACTGCTTCAGCTACGAGTCCAACTTAACCTGAGTCATGCTGTCAGCTCCCAGACACTACCTGCACGCAAAAGCTCCGAAATAAAGCTAGCTGCATTGGAAGCAGCATTGATGACATATATTGGCCCATTTTCTGCTGATGCAGAGTAGGCAGCTGGGCATGGTGCAGGGCATAGAGAGGTACAGGGGGGTCCAGCAGCTCTGTGGCTGCAGCTACACAGACTGGCAGTGCCCATGCAGCTGTGCCACACTGCAAGCACACTCTGCATTTTCAAGTATGCTAAATTAATGCCTGTGCTGTGCAGCTGATTGTACATCAAGCCTGTTCGTATGAAACATGCATATTGTATGTTCTAATAAGTGCAGCTAATGAATACAGCTAGAGGAAACAAAACCTTTAGCCACATGAAGCAATTAATAGATCTTTTTCTCTTCCACATCTGACTATGTTTTGCATTGCATTATTGAAGATGACACATGAAACAGCACAAAGATTCCATGTTCATCCAGTGGCTTTGCACCATGGAGCTCCGGTCTGAGTAGGGAGACAAGGAGAAAGTAATTGGTGATAGATGCAGAGCTGGAGCAGGCACAGCAAAAAGCATAAGGATAACACTGGGGACAAAAATACTCAGAAAGGAAGGTTGGGAATTTGGATTGCTTGGAAAGCTGAGGAGGATGCTGGTGGCTTTTTGAACTTGTCCATTTGGTTTCTGGGATGAACACTTAACTTCTGATCATTAACTGAAGACAGATTTATCTTTTGTGGTATCAAGACTCTGGACTTACGCATTCACACAACAAATCCACAGAAACACAGATTTTCTGTTTCTAATGAATAAGAATTTGCATCTAAACACCATGATTTGAAAGGACACTTTGGGATCATCAGGCCCAGGCAAGGTGTTTGCATACACACAGCCACTAATATTTAGCACTTTTACATTTTAACCCTGTGATAGGCTAGGACCAACACAACAGACTAAATTCAAGATTGCAGACTCTGTCTAGTAATATATTCATTCCTGTCTCACTTCTTAAAACAGGAAGTCATATATATGTCATACCATGGTGTGTCCCATATCTGCCACAAAGGACAGGCTAGAGTTTGATCCAAGGATTGATCCACTGAATCCAAGGATTCAGTGACAGCTTGGAAACACAGAAGTCATTAGAGCACCCTGGCAGCTGAAAAACACCATCTAAAAAGAAGATACAGTAGTGATCGTGTTTGCCTTAGGGTGGTGGTGGTGTAGTCAGCGTATTCCTCTCACTCAGTTTGCAGGTCACCAGCATGGGTGAAAAGGCACCTCAGTCTCTAGCTGTGAAAGGAACATTTATCTTTCAGAGGACAGAGGTGGATGTCCTAAAACAGTCAGGTTGTTAATAAAACTCAACACAAAACTGAATGGCCTCTGCTGTAACAGAGAGACTAACCGTATACTTCTGACTGTTTCTCTGATATCCATATGTTAAGCAGTATGTAGGTTACTTAAAATTATCTTTCATTGCTTAAGGTAGGTTTTTCCCACAGGCCTGTTAAATAGAACCTTGCTTCTTCTCCTTTTATGCAGCCTGAGCAAAAGACGTGGCCATGATTGCTCACAGCATGGATAACAACAGCGGTACTGTTGTTCTCCCTACCTTCCTGCTTCTGCTGCAGAGTGAGAGCTACTCGAACAGCCCCATCCCCTCTGCTGGCTATGAGATGACAGCATCACCCACAGGACCCAGCTCAAGCAGGAACCGCACTGCCTCGCTGTATGACCTGCAGCAGGGGGAAATTACAGCAGCCAGCATGGTTTTGGGAGCGCTGTGGCTGGTGTCCCTCGTTGGAAACTCCCTCGTTTGCTTAGTGATCCATCGGAGCAGGAGGACGCAATCCACCACCAACTATTTTGTTGTCTCCATGGCTTGTGCAGACCTGCTGACTAGTGTCACAAGCGTGCCCTTTGTGCTGCTTCAGTTCACCTATGGCAGGTGGACACTGGGGAACTCAATGTGCAAGCTGGTAAGGTACATCCAGCACATCACCCCTGGAGTCCAGATATATGTGCTCCTCTCTATATGTGTGGATAGATTCTACACTATCGTTTACCCCCTGAGCTTCAAAGTGTCCAGGGAGAAAGCCAAGAAAATGATTCTGGCCTCTTGGCTCTTTGAGGCTGCATTTGCATCACCGGCTTTCCTTTTCTACAGCTCCAACAGTGACGACCACTGCAACTTTTTTCTCCCCAGATCTTGGGAAGGAGTTACCTATGGTGTCATCCGCCTCTTGGTGGTGTTTTTGATGCCGTCTACCCTCATTGTCTTCTTCTACCAGAGGGTCATCAAGTACATTTGGAGAATAGGCACTGATGGCAGGACTGTCAGGAGGACAACAAATACTGTTCCGAGAGCAAAAGTGAAAACCATCAAAATGTTCTTAATGCTAAACTCAGTCTTTCTCCTCTCCTGGCTCCCTTTCTACATGGTACAGCTGTGGCACCCACAGGAAATCAACTACAGAAAAAGCTCCCTGGTTTTCCTGTTCATCACCTGGATCTCCTTCAGTTCTTCAGCCGCTAAGCCAACCATCTACTCCGTGTATAATGCAAACTTCAGAAGAGGGATGAAAGAAACTTTCTGCATGTCTGCCATGAAATGTTACAGAAGTAATGCATACACCATCACCACCAGTTCCAGAATAGCCAAAAAGAATCATGTTGGGATCGCAGATATCCCAGCTCCAGCCAAAACTGTCATGAAAGACTCCATCTATGATGCTTTTAACAGAGAAGAAAAGGAAAAAAAGGTTGCCTGGCCTATTCAGTCCAATCCCCCCAATACATTTGTCTAGTTGGCTGCATTGCTTTGAAGAAACTACCATGTACCCACAGAACAAGGAGCTTTATATCCTTTCTGAATATTGATGTATATTTACATATTTTTAACACAGATTTGGGGAAGAAGACAAGATGTTTTATTTTATTAAATGCCTTGATTTTGATGTGTCCAGTTTATTTAATTCCCCTTACCTTCTGCTTTCTGGAAATACTCTCCCTGAGTCACAAGCATCCCTTTTCTACAAAACAGGAAATTTCTTAGACTTTCCCTAGACAGGCAAAAAAGGGTAGGAAGAAACACTGCTTTTTTTGAATCCCTGTACACTGGCCACTGTGTATCAATGCATATATCCACCCAAGGCCATCTATACTTCTGTCTGTTATGTCCCTGCAAATACCAGCGCACTGTGGTTTTCCTTCTTGTCCAGACCCCATGGGCAAGAGGTCCACAGGTGGGCAGTCAGGCTTAATCCTGACATCAGTGGTGAAACTCCCAGAGCCCCACAGGGTCAGCATCAGTCCAGCATTGAATGCTTTTGCACTTTCGTTGTTGCGCCTCTCCAGAGGTCCTGTGGTCCAAACCACCTCCTCTCGAGCGGCTTCTACACCCACCCTAGTGCATCCACACAGAAGATGGGGCTGGGCACAGCCTGAGAGAAGACCTGCTGGTCAAAGCAGTGCCAGGCACACAGGGACTCCTCACAGCCTCAGTTTGGTGTGTCTCCTGGCCTGAGTTCCTTCTGCTGAGGTTTTCTGCACTCACACACCCTCCTGGCAGCATCCTCCTCCATGGGAGCACCTTTGAATAGGTCCCTCACAGGCATCCCAGAGGAGATGAGCTGGCAGACAGCCGTGGCTGCAGGTGGAGCTGACTCCTGCTGCTCTTTATCGGCCAGCACAGGGAGAAAACAACCCAACAGCACCAGTCAGGGCTTCAGCTTTCTACCAGTGTGAGAAGGGGGATGGCACCTCCTGTGCCATCTGCACTTACTGGAAGAGACAGGCTGGGTTTTGGTGGGGTTTTTGTCAGTTATCGACCTCATTAATAAGAAACGGGCTGAATCTGTGGGATGAAAATTGATTTATTCTCCTAATTCTCACAGTATTTCCCAGAAGTAAAGTAGTCCACCCTCAGAAAACACTGATAACACATGTCTGGTTGGTGAATTCCCTTCCCTCTGCCCAATTAATGTGTTCCCATGAGCTGGACATGTGGAAGGTCCATGCCAGGCCACTCTAGCATTTGCCTGGGAAGTTTCCTTTTTGCTTTCCTGCAGTGTCTACAGGAGAGTCCCACAGGGTTCAGACCAGACATCCGTCCATGCCAGTGTTTTACTGTCTGCTGCAGCCATCAGCAGGTGCTTGAAGATAGAGCATAGGTACCAGGGAAGCTACAGAGGGGTCTCCTGACACCTCATTCTAGTCTCTGGCAGTCGCTGCTAAGAACTAACACCTCTCACAGGGCAGCTGCCAAAAAGCAGTGCCATTAAATAAATACAGAGCAGGTCCAGAATGGGCTTAGTCATAAAATTCCACAGGTGGGAAAGAACCCTCCCCCCTGCTTTTCAGGCTCCATCTGAGTGGATTTCAAGAGAGTTTTGCCTGAGAATCAAGGTTTTGACCTCTCTTCAGTTGAGAATCTCAAGTGCTTTTTTTCCTACTCTCTATTTCCTTCTCAACTAGCTCTGACAAAGTCAGTACCTGGTGAATAGCTGCTCCCCACCCACACTCTCTGTGCCACTCTTGCGTTTGTAAACATCTATCATGTATTCTCCCAGTTATTTCTTTTCTGCACTCAAGAATTTCATCCTACTCAGTAATTTCTTGCACAGAACTGGCTCCAGACCAGGCTCTCCTTGGAGCACCCTAATGTAGCAGCCAGGGCTTGGCCAAGCATCCTCAAATCCAGAGTACTAGCAGGCATTTCAAACTCCAGTCATCCTAACAGCATTGTGAGAGCTTTGATTGCAGGTGTCAAACTGGAAGACAGTGTGCAGGTGACAGTTACTCCTCCACATACTCCTGGGTTCAACCTTAAACAGTGGAGATTTGTGTTAGATCTTAGGAAGAAGTTCTTTACTATGAGGGTGGTGAGGCACTGGCACAGGTTGCCCAGACAAGCTGTGGCTGCCCCATCCCTGGCAGTGTTCAAGGCCAGGCTGGATGGGGCTTGGAGCAACCTGGTCTAGTGGAAGGTGTCCCTGCCTGTGGCAGGGGTTGGAACTGGATGATCTTTAAGGTCCTTTCCAACCCAAACCATTCTATGGTTCTACGATTCTATGACTCTACGATTCTATTACAAAATCTCTAGCTCCCCACTGTATGTCTAAAAGAGACATCCCTCAACCACAACCTCCTCAGAGAAGGATTATCTTTTTCTTCTGCTTTCAGAGCAAATGTGGCACAGCTGGGCTCCTGCTGGTGCCTAGGGACTGGAAGTGCTGAGTTAATGAAAGTTAATAGACCAAGAGCAGCAAGTACTACAGGGTGTATTAAACACACTTGGGTACCTCCCTTTCCCATCAGCAGGGAGCAGAAGCACACGTGGTGGAGCCCCAAGCTGACATCCTCTGAAAAGGCTCTCATGCTGGCAATATGGGTGGGGAGACTCCTTTGTTGAGAAACAATCCTGTATGTATGGTAGAAAGCTTCCTTCTTCCTCCTCTACCATACAAAGTACGGTTGTGAGAACCCTCACGGATTGCAGGAACACTTCCAGTATCTGTTTCACAAATTCAGAAATCCCCATTAAATGAGGATCTGGTATTTCTCACTGAAGTCATTAGCAAAAACTCCCATGAACAGGGAGGAGAGAGGATCCTGTAACTGAGACAAGACCAATATTTTCTGTGTGGTTCATGTTCTGAGAAAGTTGTTTCTCCCTTAAACATCACCATATGCTTAGTTTTTCTTTGCCACTTAATTACTTCTGTCACGGTAAAGTCAGACCTAGGGTATGCAGGCCAGGTCAACCTTGCAATGTTATTTTTAATGTTGGGTTGTGAGACCGAAACCCAACAGTTGTTCTTTCGGTTAGTCACTTTATTAAAGAAATGCGACTGAACAGAATAAGCCCTGAGATTGCAGAAGACCACAGGGTCGTGGTTGCCCACCTCCTGCTAGGTCTGATTCCAGAGGGACCCAGGACACTTGTTCCTTCAAGTCAACATGAATAGGAGTGCATGAGGAAGCCTTTCTATCTGGACATAATGGACAGGACAGGCCATGACAGTCACTGTCCTGTCAAGGTGCAACCAGAGGTACTGTAAGGGGCGAGTCCTTGAACCGTCGGACCCCAAAGATGTTCCAGTGAATGTTGCCTGCGCACTTCCAGCCCACAGATAAAGGGCACTCCTCAGACCATTGCAGATCCCAAAGGAAAATACTGCTGCAGCCATCACATGCAGGGCTGCTCTCTCAAACCTGCTCCACTGCTGAAAAGGACAGGAGAGAGGCAGTCCACCCCTAAGGTGCCAGCACCACGCTGCAGACCCACAGCCTGCCAGATGTCTTTTCACATAGAAAGCCCAAAGAACACACTGGCAGGTGTGAAACCACAGGCTTCTGTGCAACCTTCCCTCTTCTGAACTCAACCATGTTCCTCCACCCCCCAGAAGCCATAGAACTACACAAGCTGGCCAGGAAAAGTGCTATGACACAATAGGTAGGGACAGTGTCCCCAGGTTGAAGAAGCTGGCAGTTCTTCCCTGAAATCATGGGCCTAACTGGCCCTGCAGCCATCAGTGAAGTCTGGAGGTTGGCTTTCCTAAACCACCTTTCCCTATCAGTAAAGCCCAGTCACAGCTGTATCAGAGTGTGACCCTGCTTATATAGCTTCTTTTAGCCAAACTATAATGGTAAAAACACGTCCTCACAAATACAAGCTGCATTTGAACTTGGAGGAGTTGGCCAGTGCAGCTGCCCCTTTATGCAGTTATACTGATAAACCTTCCTGATTTCTAGTTCTGTATGACACAGCTTTTGGTACAGTTAAAAAAGATTATCCTGAGCAATCAAATAAACCCCATTGCTTCAATTGCTGACATATCCTCAGTCTGAAAAGCCAGCCTTCACCACACAGCACAAGCAAAAGGAGCACTGATGTGCCTGTATGTCAGGTGCATATGCACGTGCTCACTCCCATCTCCTTCCTTTTGCTTTTTTTCCAAGTTCTGCCAGGCATCTCTATCCATTCTCCCACCAGCCGTGGCTGCTGACCAGGCTCAATGCCCTGGTGAACACTGTGCTTCTGGGAGAGGTGCCTAAGGAAAGGCTGCCTGAGCCACCCCAGCAGCTCCAGCCCTCAGGTAACATCCAGCCACTGACAGTTTGCCTCTGCCACTGTTAGAGCTGAAGAAAACACCATAGTACAGCGGTGCTGAAGATGGAAAATATCCGGCAGCTTGACTTTTGAAATGGCAGCTACTCCATGCTTAGTGATGACTTTGGAAACATGTAATGAAATGGATGGACACTGACAAGTGCTGACCTGGTGCCAGAACAAACAGCAAACTTTTCCATTCCTTCCATCATTTTAGGACAGGTAATGGATGGGTTTGATAGCACCCATCCAGGTCCTTCTGGTCTGCCAAGGCCCCAGAGGTGCCAGAGACTCAGAAGGAAGATCATGCATTACCTAAGCAAGAAATGGAAAATGATGAAGGATTTGCCTGATCAATATAAACAAATCTCTCCACACTCCCTCACAACTCCTCACTGCCAACACACAGTTTCAGTGATACATCTAAAGCAACAATAAAATTAATGAGGTGTGGGGAAAAAAGAAAGATTGGCAAGGAGGATTATAAATACACTCAAGTGACCTGCACCTGTGCAGAACACATATACCATACTAATTGTTGTTTAGCCTTGTCTGTCAGACAGGTAGAACATCTGTGTTTCGGTAACATAAGCCTGTGATAGAGGCAGCTTGAGATTCCTGCCCTGAGGTAGGAGAAATCAAGGCACTGTGGTAAACTATGCCTGCCCTGAAACATAGGTGAAACCAGGAGGTTCAGAGATCCTCTAGCACGGACCAAGCATCATGGTACCTGCATCCACGCTTGTGTGCCTCTGCTGGGTGCCCCTTTGGGGCTCCCTAATTGGTGAGGTAATGAAAATAAATTTACTCTTTGCATTTCATCCATGGTTTGTGGTTGTTTCT